ACTCATTTGAGAAAGATCACAATGGGTTTTGTGATATTAAACAACTCTTTTCAAACTTTCCTTTATAAAATGTTTAAAATAACACTTGTTACTATAAAAAAGAAATGTAAACCATTAACAGCAAAACAATTATTGAGCACAATTAATCCATCAGACAACTTAAGATAAACTAAAGATAAATAAACTGAAACATTTAATTAAAATGCAAGAGAAGAATAAGCTATTTTCGACATTTCTGAATTTTAAGTATCTTCTCTGCCCAAATATAAGCTACTTGGTGCTTTATTTGCATCTTTTTATACAGTTAAAACTCTCTTTGTTTAAGGATTGAAGTAGTAACCTTTAAATTAGTGTCTATTTCATAACTAAATCCATCAAACTATAGGCCTACTAAAATGATTTCATTTTCCTTTCTGGTTAATCTAAAGTGCTTAATCTTAAAATGTTAACTGTCAAAATAATAGACCTTTTTTCCCTCCATAAGAATAACTTGAATTTCTTACATATTTCCTGTCAATCATTCTATCTAAACTGGGTGTGCATAAATTGTTCCACCACTGTGACTCTCTCTTAACTTAAGTTTGTATGTTTGGACAGTGTTACTCACTTCTACCATGAAAAGGAAATAAGATCATATTCTGAAATGGATTTACATTTCTATGCTTATAGTCAGAATATATTTTTAGTGAGGGGAAGATCTGTTACACAGTCAAATAATGAACAACTGTAAAGATAACTGTTTGAGAAAACAGAATATTATGGAATACATCTATGTGTTAGGGACAAGTAAAATACCACAGAATTATGAATCAGTGTTACACATACTTCTTCCTTAGGTGATTTTTTTGCTACTCAGGCCATTACCTTTTGTGTTCACATATTGGTAAAAGCTGCCCCCTTTTTTTTTTTTTTTGAGCAAAAAGGTTAATAGGCAAGAAAGAAGAAAGGAAGAAGAAAACAGCTCCCTCATACAGAGACAGAGGGAGGGGGAATTCGAACAAAGAGAAAACCCCCCAAAGCTGCACTTTTACTAAAAAATATTATCATTAACTCTTTGTCATGTATCCTGGCATCCTATAATGTGTATGACTAAATTCATGCATTGACATAAGCAAACACAATGTTTCATTAATGAAAAGAAGACTTTGGACTGAGAAAAAGCCCACTGACATTGTCAGCCAGTTACTTCAGTGTTAAATTCAAGGTGGTTTGATATATGTTTTGTGTGTTTAACACAAAAGCCAATATGTAAAAGTCACAGGACTAGTCTAGGTCTTACGATTCAGAGTTATATGGTCTCAACAGTTGTTTTTTTCTATTTTAATTTAAAGCATTAAACAAGAAATTATTCACTAAGGTTTAGAGCTGCATTTTAAACAATCCAATCTTTGAATTTCTAATGTTTTTATGAAAGCTTCAATAAAAAGCTGTGGTTTGAAGTAAGAACATATTATAGTTTTGTAAAACAATTTCAAGTTGGCATAATGAGAACCCATATAATCTAATTGCTTAACCAATAACATTCACTTTTACTATTATATAATCACCTATGTTCTAAATAAATTTTTATTAAATACAGTTCCAATAAAGATATTAGGAAACTTACTTTATACTACTGTAATGCTAGAACATTTTGTAAGTGCTCAAATAATTTTGTCAGGGCAATTCCCTTCCATGGGAATTTAAAAATTATTTGTATCATAAATGAATGAGAAAATTTTAATAATCCATGAGACAATAACACACACAGACACACACGAGATCTAAAGGTCTTATTCAACATTGCATGCCTTTTATAAAATTAGGCTGATTCTCCTAGATTGTAAATTGGGATATAATTAAATACCAGAGTGAAAAATCTGAGCAGCTACTGGAATTACAAAAATAATAATAAATTAAATAAAAGCATGGTTTAAGTAAGTCCTGGAAAAATTCAATCTAATGTTACAATTATAAAGATAGCAATGTGAGCATTATATAACACTAATAAGAGTACTATGTAAGTTTTACATAAATAGAACTCAAAATGGAGGCTTAAAATATTCCCCAAATGTAGAATTTACCAGGAAAGTAAAGTGATAATTTTTAATTTAAAATATCTGGTTTAATTAATAATAACAACTTGTAACTTTAAATCTAAAAGAGAGCCTAAGTTGGGTCAGCCTTGGGTCAGTGTTGCATAGAACCTGACTTTAATTGTGATTTTAAAAAAATCAACAGAAAGCAGTGGTTCTCAAATTCTAGCAAGCATCAGAATTGGGCTTGTTAAAACTCAGATTAGGGTTCAGAGTTTTTATACAATGGGCCTGTTATGTGTTCTGAGAACAGGCATTTTTAACAAGTTCCCAGGTGACACTCAGGCTACTGCTAAGAAGGCCCCATTTTGAGAACCACTTTCTAAAGTACAGCATAGCGTGTTCAGCATTTTCTTTTATAAAGCCTGTCATCACAGTCTCAAAAGACATTTATTGACTCTGGAATCAAATATTAATGAATTTGGGAATTATATGTAAGCACTATCATTTTATAATCACTAAAACATACTGTCTGATAACTATGGATACACAAATAACTTGTCCTGGGATAATATAATTATGTGTCATTATAAATGGTGTTATATAACTTATAATTGGTTATACAGTAACTATTGCTTTGATGTGAAAAAGTATGTATGTTTTCCTTTTCCTAACTGGTGCTTCCTTAGTCTACTCAGTTCTGAAAGACTTTCCATAATTTAAAGGAAAAAAGAGAAGGTAAATCCACTTCTAGAAAGAACTTACTACTACATCTGTGACATGTAAGTATTTTCTGGTGAAGAGACAACAGCAAGGGCTTGTAGAAATAACCACTTTCATACAGTTTAATATTTAATATTAACCACATCCTAGTCCGCTCCTTGAAAGGATGCTGCTGCTTTACATTCCTTTGACTTCCCCACCAAGTCTCCAACAGCCTGAATTGTAAGAGGTCCCGTACATCATGGATGCTTCAAGGGCAAGGTCTGTTCATTATTCCTCAGTAGCCTCAACAGTTAGAAGAATACCAGTTGCATAGTAGGTACTTAAGAAATGTTGACAGACCTGGACACAAACCTCATGAATAGTACATGCATAATGGATATTTAATGATTTATTCTGAAAGACATCCTAGTTCTTTTGAATATACAAGTTGCTTTTTCTCAGCAAGTTCATCCCTTGCTGTAAAATAAAAGATGGGCCTAGTATAGGTGTTTGTATATTAAGGCCGATAACTCCACAAGTGTCCAATTGGCCTTAGGCTACTAAGTTTACCCACGTCTATGATACAGGAATTTTAGTAAAAAGGTTTTAATACTAAAGCAAGTTTTATTGTGTACTTTTTAATAATTTAAATATGACTTTGTTCACATAAAATATATGTTTAAAATATGCACATCATCATTGTTACTTGTAATATAAGCTATAGGTTTAGTGAGAATAGGATGGTGGGAGACAAATTTTACTCTGTTATGGCCACAAGAAGGAGCTTTATAACCCAGTACTAGGACTTCCGAGGCTTAAATCGACTTGTGCATTTCCCCTAAAAATGTTTTTACTAATTTCTACTCCTGAAGTATATTAATTTAGATATTATCGTTGTTTTTCATCAGCTCTGAGAATTGTACCCCAAAATATACAAGGGAATTAACTGCATCCATTCAGTGACGACTGCACCATTACAAAGAAAGGATGGGCATAAAACTCAGTGACCAAAAAGTTACGAAGAAGTTCCCTCCTTCTCTCACTGATCGGTAACCCAAACACCCAAGAAAAAACAACTGCAGAATATAGGATATGTGACGGGGTGAAATTGCAATAGCATCATAAGCCGAAATGTCTTGATAAAACTAATTTTTTTTCAATATAATATGAAAGACCACTAATGACAAAACACTTGAGTAATAGAAGTCACTTAGAGACGAAAGAAAGAAAGATAGAAAGGAAGGAAGGAAGGAAGGAAGGAAGGAAGGAAGGAAGGAAGGAAGAGAGAGAGAGAGAAAGAGAAAGAGAGAAGAGAGAGACGAAGGGAGAAAGGGAGACAAAAAACGGGGAAATAGTAAGAGAAAAAAAAAAATGAGAAAAGAAAAAGTCCTACTGCCCTGCCTCTGTTTTAAATACTGACGCCCCATAAACAAATCTGTCCCTAGGATATGATACAGAGGCCTGGAGCCTGTGACCTCCTTTCTGAATCTATCAGGAGACACAGCCCACACCAAAACACCAGGAGTGTTGCTTCTGCCAAATATCCTTTACTAACTTCAAAGAAAGAACGGGGAAAGAGCTGTAATGATGCTTAACACGAAAGACTGCCTTTCTGCTTCCTTCCCTTTCCCCATAAACTGAATGAACTGTCGTTATAAGACAACATACTGCTGAGTTAATGTAACTTAAAAATTTACAGCAGGTTGTATGCCTGGAGGCACATTATGGGACCACCTGTAGGCATCTAATTCCAGTGAAAATAATAAATAATTGTGGAGCATTCCTCAGAGTCTAGAGAGAGTGGATAAGAATCGTGTTGCTTGTTCACTCCAACATGGATTCTGTTGTGGAGGAGGATTAGAGAACTGAACTCTCTCCAACAAATGAGTAATCCTTCTCCCCACAAAAGAGTCCGCTAAATGCTACACCAGACACCTGGGTGCCAGATCTACACAGCCATTTTTGTGCACTTTTGATAATCCACCTGCAGAAATTACCACGTGGCAATTGCTTAATATAGCACGTTGATCCATTTGAGGACTTCTTAAAGAGTAAAGAAAGCTATTTGGTTTGTCTCTCTGTATACTGTTTGTCTTTTTGAAACTCCTCCTCACATTTTGGCAAAGATAGAGAGTGACAGTAAGAATATCTGTGATATGACTCCAACCACTTATTTGGGAGAAATTAATATGTGTATTTTAGCAATGCCCAGCAACCTTGACCTTTTTTTGACTGGAAAGAAAAAATAATGTACTACAGAGCTGCTTTTTTTTTTTAAAAAAAAAAAAAAAAAAAAGAAAGAAAGAAAAGGCCAAAGGATTTGTTATCGTGCTTTTGCCACAAGGTAGGTGGGTTAGTATTTATCCTGTGACTACTCAGAGTATACATGTTGTTTATTTTAGATAAGATAAAATATTCTAAGAGAGTGAAATTTTACATATGTGTGTGTCTATACATATATAACATGAACTTTTATTAAGTAGGTTTCAAAAGATAGTCTAATTTTTGTTCAGTTGGGTTATAAATTACCTATAAACTGTACTAATGTAGTCCTCATCTTATAGTCACTGCAATAAGGTTTGGATTTAAAATCTATGACAACCTTTGTTCATAACAATCACATGGTTTGGAATTAAGAAAACTAGATTGAAACCATCATTTAAGTAAGTAGTGAAGATTGGATGCTGGGTGGTATTCAGGTTGACATTTCCTTTCTATTTGCACTACACGAAGGGTTAATAAGGTTTGCATAACCTTATTCTTTGAAGGCTTTTTGGCAGAGGCAGACTTTTGAAGGATTGCTGCCAAAACAGATTTTAACCCTTTTAATCATACTGTTAATAACCACATTGTACACGGTACACAGCATACTGCACGTAAGGCAATATCACTCTGAACACAGTTTGACCTGATACCCAATCAAGGAAAGGTTCCTAGAGACACTTGCCATTTTGGTTGCTATGGTGAGTTTCATATTTTATGGAAACCACGGCTAGATGTCTTAAAATAGACCTTTGCCAAGAAAAACATTGGTCCAGTGGCATATGCTGGCAGAGCCTACCAAGGTTGCTCAAATTCCCTTCCTTTGTTTTTCACTCTCCCCACTGGGGCAACTGCTCCAAGCATCAACCCACTAGTCTGGCAGGCAGAGAATCCAGAAACTTGCTGCTAATTACAATGTTGACAATTCCCAACCTGTTTACTGGCGCCAGCAATCAAACCGCATCCTCTCGAGTGAACCAAAAAGCACTTGCTGGCTTTAGCTTCCTGAGGTTCCAAGCTGGCTATATTAATTACTGTTAACTTAAAACTGTATGTTGTACAGAAGAAGCTTAATTAGCTGGTATGAGGATTAAAATCTATCCTTTACACAATTTAAAACATTTTGTTCTTGGCCAAATTATGTGAATCCATAAAACATTTTTCTTTGGACAAAATATTGATTATTTTAGGTGCGACTTCTCAGTGCCAATTTTTCCACTGGATTATTTTCATTTGAGCACCAAAATAGATTTTAAAGAGCCAATCTATCTGTCTGTCTGTTTATCTACCTACATATCTCGGGATTATATCTACAACCTTTTTAAAAAGCTTGAGAAAAAGAATGAACATAGTCATTTACAGTTACTGTTTATAATTAATAAAATAGGAAAACCTATTAAACGGGATTAAATGGTCAAAAGGATATCCACTTTCTATCTTGATGAAATATCCACTTTCTATCTTGATGAATTTGAAACAAAGATAGTTACACCACTTTTTCTAGTGAACCCTCACTGCTATGATAGAGGAATGATTTGGTAGTCATATGGCACATAATGATGTATCTATCAGCGACAGGTTGGATATACAATGGTGGTCCCATAAACTTGTAATACTGTATTCCTACTATGCCTTTTTTATATTTAGTTGTGTTTAGATACACAAATACTTACCATTGTGTTACAATGGGCTACATTATTCAGTATAGTAACATGTGGCTGTACAGGTTTCTAGTCTAGAAGCAGTAGGCTGCCATACAGCCTAGGTGTATAGTAGGCTATACCATGTAAGTTTCTGTAAGTACATTCTATGTTGTTCCTACAATGACAAAATTGCCTAAGGATGTGTTTCTCAGAATGTATCCTTGTCATTAAGCAACATATGTATAAGGAGCATGCTTCATGATTGATAAGTTGGTTGAACCCACAGTGAAAAATCACCTTCTCACACCCCTAAATGGTTAGCATTACAAGTCACCCAGATGTGGCAGTGGCAGACCACCATGCAATTTTCATAAATAGCACAACAGAAGTGAACAGGGTTTTGCAAAAACTGAGAATTTTACTTTGATTCTGCCCTAATCCAATAGCCGATCTGTTCTTCTTTATTCAACAAGATAGCTTTGAACATTTAAAAAGTGAAGTAAAAGTAAATATAATTTTAAATTGTATATTAAAATGTGATTTTATTTCTGTTATTTGATATGAGAACATTGTGGGGTCACTGTTATTTAACAATGTTACTTTAAATTTTTCATTGAATACACTGCATGACAAATATTTTTGTATCCAATCTTTTAGTTGACATTTGCATTTGGAAGCTTATTAAACTGAGTTGATATACTTGTGATTAACATTTCCCTTGTTTTACCGCAATATTTCCAACTAGGGTAAAAGATCAAGTTATTCCTTTAATTATGATTCATTTTCTGTTTCTACATTAAGATAGCCTATACCATTTTCCAAGATTTAAAAAATCATTAGTATAAGCACACTAGAGACCTTTGGAATATGTTGATACATTCACATCTACTTATACAATATAAGAATTTTTGAAAAGTTTAGATTAATTGGGTAAAATATCACTGAATAGTATGAAAAATATAAGAATTATTCTCAGACAATAGGAAGAGCAACGTTGTGAGAAAAACTTCAACATTTAGTGAAGTTTTAGTGTGGTGTATTAGAAAGAAAACACCAAACAAGGACTTAGAAAATGGGTTACTAATATTATCTGACTGTCCATGGAGAAGTTATTTGGATTCTCTGTGTTGTGAGGACTTCATGTGGGAAACATGGGAATTGTATTACATACCAAAGAACTAGATCTGAGATAGAAATTTATAATGACAACTAAATATCATATGAATTTACTATGAGCTTATCAAAGACTTTTGAAATTTTGTATTCCATGTGGATATAGGAATGGAAAATAATCATATTAAAAGCAAACAAATGATCAGGTGGAAATGTTATGTATTTGGAAATAAGGGCCAAATTAGACAAAGACAAACATACCAATCTTCTCTGTCTTTATCATGGTTAACTAACAAATAGATTTCTTCTCTAAAATCTAAATCAATTAAGTGAATGGGAAAAACTAAACTCTTGGTATCAATATTTTATATCAGGAAATACTGTCTTAACAAATCCTCCCACGTTACTTTACTTCTAGAGCACAAATTCAAGTATCATACATGTATTTTCTAATAGAAAAACTGTTAAAAAGGCTGTCTCTTTCAAGCCATGTCCCCCTAGGCTCAATTTTCAGAAGTCTTTGTCTTTTCAGACTGATATTCTTTATTTTACTTGAGAAACATCCAGATTTCTTGCCTTTCTCAATTTTCTACAGATAAGCTAGGCTTATTTTATTCAGAGATTATTTCTATTTTAATTGATTCAAAGTTCTGTATCAGAGCATGACTTTGAAAGCAAGAACTTTTGGATACACTTGTCACTCATGCTATGAAAGAATCCTTCTACGATGAAAGAATCCTTCTACACAGATAAACTATATAAAATCAATATTGAACACTATGCATCACAACACGGCAAAGGGTACCATATAACAAACAAGACCTCTTCTAACGTTTTCTAAAATTGATATTTTTTCAAGGTGTACTGGTCCCAGACACCAGGAATTTCATTATTGTTACTTAATACATCACCAAAATCTGTACATTCTTCACTCCAGTCCACATCATTAATACTGTTACTTGCTATAATTGTCCCTTTTCTCTTGTCAAATCCAATTGTTAATTACACAAATCACCAAATGTAAATGTGAAACTGCCTCAAAAGTTTAACATCACTCACTATTTTTAATAAACATAGCATTCACAACTAACAGAAACCTGCTTGTTTGTGGTAAAGAATCTCCCTATTTTAACTCTGTTCTAATATATAATATTAAAACAATCTCAAAGCTGTTTTATGGACAACCACATCCAACAACAAAAAGGAACATGAGATATTTTAATAAAAGTATGAATAAATGACTTCCAAACCGCATACTCCTACCCCCAGATACATATTTGAAGGCAATTACTTTTGAAAACTTTGTAGAACTTTTATTGAACTTATTCTCAGTTTTTATTTTTTAATTAATTTTTTCTCTTTAAATCTCTATTCTTTTTGTGTTTGATTCCATGTAGCACACAAATCAGTCAAAGTTTTCAATGGACATAATATTTTATACCCATAATTAAACTGAGAATGGATAGCATGTAAACTATCTGATTAAAGCAATAGCTGATAAAGCATATTATTTTAATTTTTAGACAATGAGTGTATTATTTTGTGATTAAAAAGTCAACTTATATTTACTATACATTGACCATCCCAGAGAGTCACACCTTTCAAATAAAATTGTAACTTAGTCTGTTTTCCTAGTAAATAATTTTTTAAAATTAAGAAAAAAGTTATACAGATCTTTAGCTTTGAAAACATACCTATCACAGTAATTATTATATTGCATAAAGTACGTTTCTATTGATTACTTCTTAAAACTTTATAAATTCTTACAAATATGTATACATTTAATATTAAATAAAATACATTAGGTAACATTCACATGGACTAAAATTTTCTATTTCAGTAGTAGATTAAACAGCTACTTGGAGTTTCAAAAAGAATACCAGCTTAAAAGCAATGTTCTCATGGATTTTTCCATTATTTAAAAGTTATATCAAATAACTAGAGACAATGTATTTTCTTTCCTGGCAAAGAAGAACTGCACTATTAGTACACAAATCTGAGAATTAAAATTTATGTCTAACATTAAATCAAACTTAAATATATGCAGTACAACAATCATTTTATATAATAGTGACTTTAAGTAATTATGAAAAAATGTAAAATTTATATTAACATATGCCCCAAAAGGATATCATTGCTTTCACAAAATTCATAAATATTTAGAGCACCTACTATGTGCCAAACACTGGACTAGGTATTTTAAAAGATTAACCATTTTAGAAGAATTAAATATCCTAGACAATTATTGGTCCTTTTAACAGAATGGAAACAAACACAGTAATTTTCACGCTCTTCCAAATATTGTAATTGAATTTAATAGTATAAACATTTACACAGGAGTAAACATTTTTAGAGGCCAACTCTTCATGTTCATTCTTTATCCGCTACAATCATATAAATCAACTTTGAATAGAGTTGTTTGTGATTTGGCCTCATTAGGCTAAAATGCTTATGAAGATAGATCTACGGTTTGAGTAGCTTCAAATTTATTATACAGATATACATATGCATGTACTCCCATGCTAACACATTAGAATGAATCTGTAAAGCATTCTTTGGGGGCTTTTTTTCCCTACTAAAACTTCAAATAAAAAATGAAGTATGAAAAAGCAACAAATATTTCCATGTGTTTCATGCTTTAAGAATTTAAGTAAAAATCTTAAAGACCATTTTATTATTTAATACCAAGATAAAATGTTGGTGAATACTTTTTAAAAGCTTCTTAGTTGTGATATCAATTGGCACGCCATCTTTACATGAAATGAAGAATAGATTCAGACCACACACACACACACACACACACACAAAAAAAAAGACTTTCTTTGAAAGGGAACCCTAAAGAGGTAAAAAGGCTTTAGGCGAATCTAAATCTAGCCCTTCTTATGGATGAGACAACTGAAGACAAGGCAAGCTGTGTGACAGGTCCATTGTCATAGTTCACAACAGAATCTGTACTCGAAATCAGATTTTCTAGTCTTATTCCAAAGTTCTTTCTACCACAGGAGAGATTCTCTCTCCTTAAGTATCATGTCATTGAGGGACAAAATGAAATTTGAGATTTCTTGGTGTAACGGCCTCAATTCTCTAATTTGCTTTGTTTCAGTAAACACCAAATCCTATATAAATAACAGTTATGAAAAAAAACTACATGAAACTGGATCCATAAAGTAATCATTCTACAACTTTAATTCCTGTGTAGTTATCTGTAAAACAATCCAGGATATTTGGAAGTCTTATCATGATATATTTCTATTACAAAGGAAAAGATCTTTTTCTCATATCTGCTTCTGACAGAATAGCAGGCATGACATTCATTCATTCATTCATTCATTCATTCATTCTTCTTGGAGTACAAAAGCTAGTGGACTGTTTGGCAGATATATAAAAAACTATTTTAAATGAGTAATTTTTAGTTTATCTTGAGACTTGTTTGAACCAGTTCTTGAAATTGACTACACTAGCTTAGAGAGACAAAAATAGGCTTCAAACAATTAATACTCACTCATGTATTGAATACAAATTTTAAAAACAAAATTGCAAGAAATATCAATTTTCCAATTAAAATGTATCATTTTTATAAAAATAATCTTTTCAGAAAAAGTGTTTCCAAAAAGCACACATTTCATTCAAGTTTACAAATAGACACTACTTTCAAATTATGCAATTATGTCACTATTGTAATATAGTTTGTCAACTTTTTAAAAAGCATATTATGATATAAATTGCATTTGAACTGAAAACATAATATTAACAGATTCCAGCAAAATGTCTTCTTTAGTTTGTAATTTAACTGAACGAGATTCAGTATTGGTTCAAAATTAATAAAGGCAATAACCCTTATTTAATATCTTTGAACTGCATGCTTTAGGACTCAGGTTTTTAACATTTGGTTCTAGCTTGATCTACTATATATGTATATATTTTCAAATACTAGGAGTCTCAAAGGCCTTTTCCACAAACAAAGCAAATGAAGTGTTGTCTTTACCCTTGCATATGCATTATAATATTGTAATTGTGTTGAAGATCAGACTGCCTTGCTTAGCTCACATTATTATTAGCCAGGATAACAGAACTCAGAACTCACAAGATATAGCTGGCAATACATTTTTGAGCTGGTCAATGATACAAATATACAGATATACTGATTTTATTGTTAGGCTGCACTCCACAAACTCGACTAATTGCTGGGTAATAAACACATTTCAAGAAATTTTAAATTTTATAATATATCTTTTCTGGCTTATGTTTTTTTTGGATGAACTGCATTGTTTCCTCAACTAAAATGTTTATTTTATACACCCATGCAAAATGTTTTCTAGACTTAAACATAAGACTTGTAAGTCATGATTTAAAGTATAAGCACTAAGATAAAAATCTGAAAACATTTAAAAAACAAATTGTACTACAAAGCTATTTGCTTAAAATCTATTTAGCATTCGTGTTTATAGTTGTACAGCTATCAATAACTAAATTCAATAGCTAAATGATTTAAAAGTCCTTAAATATTCTGATGTCATTATTACATTTTTTCTTCTTAATGAAAATACATCCAAAAGAAATTTACTTTTAAATAGTAAGTCTCCTATGCAGAACACACTACTTTCCAACACTGTAAGAACATCATTCTGTCATTTCTGTAATACAATGGTAGCTGCACCTGTATATATTGACAAGATGGTGAACAACTGTGATGGCCTTATACTGTCTTTCTTTCTATGTCCTTAGTACTTCTCCTCTGCCCTACATAAAACACAAAAATGTTTCCCAATATACCCATCATCTCTATCTTTGTTGTATATTTTTATATTTGAGTATTTCTCATGACTAATGTGGAATATAAGACAAAAATTGATAATAGGGTTTATGGAATATTCCTTCCATCAAAATGCTACTTCATCGTTTCTTGCCGTTGCTTGGACTTTCACTGGGACCTCTGTTCTGGTTCTAGATTGCCATTGCTCTGACACCAACAGCCACATCATTCTAGGGCTCACAATGGCCTCGGGGAAAGTTCACGGGGTTGTCATGATGCTCTATGGATCTTTAACCATGAATACCATCACCACTCCCCACAATTCTATTCAAGCAACAACATCAGAACAGGATTCACAAATACAAAGAATAAAATAAGCAAATTTTCTGAAAAATGCAGTTTCTATCAATCTGCTTACTTGGGACCCGGTAGCAAACGACCAATCAAGCTGATGTTTCTTCTTACACTTATTAATGAATATTATAGTATAAAATTGATCATTTATAGACATTATATAAATTTAAATGGGCAACCTAAAATCTCCCACCTATACATCACAAATTGTGTTCATAAATTCTGAGTATTTAGGCAGGCTTTATTAAAGTAAAACTAGTGGACAAAAGTAATTTTCACAATTTGTCTCCCTTCTCCTTTACTGTGCCCTCAGTATTGTCAAATGAACAGCTTAAGCTGAATCTATGTTCCTTTTTTCAGGAAAAATTTCTATCACCTTTGTAAAGCAAAACAAATATTAGAAAAAGGCTGCTTACCCTTCTAGTATTAGGACATCAATTGAAAAGCCATCCAAAAATTATGACTACTTAATACTACTTGCATCTAGCATGAAAAGCACAAACAAGCATTTTGTACTTCCTTAATCTTGGCTATGGACAGTGACAGGGCAAAATCAGTAATTGACTAGTGGTGATAGACTTTTACATTATTTTTCTGGAAAGAAAAAAGCTGCCTTGTAACAATAAAAATTACCTCCAGTAATTTCAACTTAATAAAGTTTTAATTTTTCCCACTTTCTTATCTTAAAAGGTCTGATGATGGAACATTTTCACCCCAAACTTAAATAAGAACCAGTTCAGTCAGACTGACACCTAATGGAAGCTTTTATAGGAAAATGATTCTGCAAAGGAAAGAAAGCAATGAGATAAGTATTTAAACAACAACAACAAAATACTTTGTTAACTATGAGTAGAGGTTTCCTTTAGATTTCATCACTAGCATCTGCAATTATTCCACTCTAAACATTACTCTTCTTCGATGAAGCAACTGCAATAAATCTGCACGAAACTGAATAGAATAGCTTATTTTTCAAAAGTTCTTCCTCATCCCCTCAACAAATGCCAGAGTGTTACATCTTTGGTTTCTCACAAACTCTGTCACCAGGCCTTCAACTCTCTTTCTTTCTTTCAAATCCTAAACACTTATTATTTAGCCAACCAGCATGAGGCCAACTTTCTAGAGACCACCTAGGAGCTAAAGTATGTAGCTTCTACTTTTCTAATTTCCCAATGAAACAATGCCACCAGTAGACATATTGCATTTTGTTAAATACATAACAAGCACAATATTTAAAAGCCCTAAATCACCAACTGGTGGATCCCTAGAGAAAGAAGGTAATTCATGGAATAATGAAGGAAAGAACAGGAGTTACATATTCTCTTGCTGGTGATAGAATGTCGAATGCAAAGACAGCATCTGTGTTTTCTTTCCTACTTCAACTCATTCTTAAAATGGACTCGCCCCCGGGAGCTTCTGAGAAGGGCTCCACCCGTTCCCTGCAGACAGCAATGTTTTTTGAGCGCAAAAACTGTGAGTTTAGATACCCTGGGAGTAATTGTGGGATCAGACACAATGGGGTGGGATTAGGGGTAGGGAGAGGGTGTGTGTGGAGTACCCTTCACTGGGAATCCTAAATATTAGAAGAAAGGCGAAACCCTAGGTGGGGAAGCATGAGAGTGTGCCTGCCTCCTTCAAGACACCTCGGTGTCAGCCTCTCCAGGATTCAGACCACTCTTGTGTGCAAAAGCCCAGTGGGGCACACGCACTTTGTGCCTGGGAAAGGCCCATCCTCCAGGGGGAGAAGGTGTATGAGTTGCAGGTCAGCTTAGAGGGATCCCAGAGCGACGAGAGGGAGAGCTTCGCAGGCCTCTAAGTTTATTTGATTTTTCTCCTGCAGTTTCCATTTCTCAGAAATTCAGTCTTCGTGCGCAGCCCGTGCACAACCAACGACCACTACGCAGGGAGGAAACCTGGTCTTAGTGTTTGGCCGCGCTAGTGAATTCTTCTGGGCCCCTGGTACGTTCCTGTCCCCAGCACTCTGTCCTTACACTTTTGAAGCGCCTTGATAGGACGGTCCCAGATGCCTCACAATAGGGAAAGGCAAAGTGCAAAGCTGGCAAAGTTGTGTGGTTCGACGCCGGCGAAAGCTGAGACCTGGAGCACCGGCCCACGCCTTCCACTCTGGGTCATCCTTCCCAGCTCCATCTTGGGCATGCCAACTCCTGCCACGTCCGATTGTCCCCAGAAGTGCCCGGGCATGCTTGAGGGGGTTGGTGGCGGTAGCTTCCTCTTCGCTAGGAGGTGACAAATCCGTGTTGTTTTATCGTCCATTAATATTTTGAAACAAACAAACAAAAACTCGAAGTAGAAGGAGGGAGAGGCTCTCTCTTGCTCCCGTCCCTTCGCAGCTGACCTGAGAGAGGGGACGTGCCTTGAGTTTGTTGGTGTTTGAGACTCGTCCTAAAGGCAGAGGCAGGGAAGACAGCGCTGAAGAGGTGTCCCAAAGAGATTGGACGTCTGAACAGTCACTGCCTGCCCCAACCTCTTTCAGGAAGGTTCCAGGTCTGTGCCACACTGCAACCAATCCGGTTCCCATCCTGTTTCTCCACCCCTTCTCGGAGAATCCGAAAAGAAAATATGCGTTCCTGAGAGACCCGCCACACTTCCGATCTGGAAGTTCCGCGGGGACCCAGCCCCCGGACCCCCGCCCCCTCCCCAGCTCGACCGCCTAGTCTGGTTGCGGAGCGGCGCGGCCGGCCGGGGGTGGGGCTCCGGCACCGCCCCGGGCCCGGGATTCGCGAAGTCACGCGCTTCCGCAGGCTTGCGGGGGCACCTTCGCCCACGGACACGCCCTTTCTGCGGAGGCAGCCCCCAGCGACCCTCTGCCCAGCTTCAGCACCTCACTCGCGACGCTCCCAAACTGCTCAAGGCCTTTCAGTCGTTCCCAACTTTAGAAAATTGCCCAGAACGCGTCTCTCCCCCGAGCCGCACCCCACCGTGGAGAGGAGAGGAGCGGGCAGGGGACGCAGAACCGCCCCACAGGCTCGGGGGAACGGACCCCCTTCCTCTCCCCGCCCATTCCCTTCACCTCGCCCCCCGCCCCCTGCGCGAACCCATTTTCCAGTCCTGGTCACCAGAGGCGCAGCGCACAGCCTTTCCGGTGGAACCAGTGCGAAAACACCCGAGGAAATGAAAAGAACAAGAAAGTGCTACCTTGGCAACCACGGGCGTTTAGTGGCCAGCTGGTGGGCTGGGGAGGGCGGCCGCTGCCCCCCTGCCGCTGGTACTCTCCTCGACTACGCGTATTCTTAAGCAATAACAACGTAATCCGTATTATCCACCCAAGAATACCCGTCACCGAAGAGAGTCAGAGGACCAAGCTGCCGCTGCCGCTGCTACCGCTGCCGCTGCTACTGCCGCCGCTGCCGCCACCAGAACTCTTGCTGCTCGCTGAGCCCGCCCCTGGCTGGGGATGGGCTGAGCTTGACCGGGACCATAAATCCATAACTCGATTTCCCTAAAGAAGGATCCAAAGCTGTGCTCGGCTGCTTCCTGCCCAAATCCAAATGGCCGCTCTATTTCCAATTCTGAAAGACAAATCACAAAACCAAATACTTAACACAGAAGAGTGCTGTCTTTCCAGTGAGGAGGAAAGATGTGGCAAGGATCTTTGGGCACAAGTGGGAGTGACAAGTAACCTTCAGTTTACCTGGTGCTCTCCCAGTGCCTTCCTCTGCACTTCTCTGCTTGGTACCTAGTCTGGTCTCGGCCAGTCCACTCTAGGTGGTTTGATTGAGTGCCATGGCAGCCAGAGAACCCTGTAAGAGACATGAATAGTTACCCACACAAACATTACAAATATATTTGCCTAGACGGCTTTGGGAAGAAGTGAGGCTTAAATAAAGATAGGGTCATGCATGGGTGAAATTTTCAATAGTATGTTTTGGAAATGCATTTTTCTCAAGTCCAAGATCATAGAAAATAAACAGTCATTCAATTTACTACTTGAAATCAAATACTTATAGATTTACAAAAATAGGCATCTTTCCTTTGAAGGCCTTAGAGCTATACAACATAATGATTTTTAAAGAAAAAAAAAAAGCTCCAAGGCTTACAATAATTAAATCCATTTTCCATAGTATCAAAACTAACTGAGTTGAGAAGCTGGTAGAGCTTCTATGATTTAAGTATCATTTTATATCACCACAATATTTAATTTCATAGCACACCTTTAAAATATATACTATAAATGCATTGCTGTACAGCTGTTGTGGACACCTCTACAGAAAAACCTTTGAAGCTCTGTGTTCATAAAAATTATTTTAAGAAGAGAAAGCCAATAAAAACTCATTTGCAAAGTGAGTGTAATTTTGGCATTTAGAGAGAGAATCTCTGTGATTCTTTGATGATCAATATGGCTCTTACTGGAAAAGCTTTGTCTTAAGATCCTGCAGTGGATATTCTGATAATGGGGGTTTATTGTTCACTAAATAAAATGGACAAGTGCAACGTCACTACCCAAGACATGGTGTAGCTTCATTAGAAAGTTCTCAATTTGCTTTCCCCTTTACTCTCAAATACATGAAAGTACATCCATGTAAGGGGAATGGGGAGGAATATGGAAACATGGCAATAGACATTATGATTTCCCAAATTATGTAAGTGCAAATAGCTCTTCATCAAGGAGTAATTATATAACAGAATCTCTCCCACTACCACAACTCATCTTTAACTGACCTGGTTGCAATTTAAGGCACTTAGGTTGTGCTTGCTCTTATTTTTTTTAAAAAAATATAATATTTATCCAGGCACACCAACTCATCATTTTCTTGACTTGTTACTTACAGATGGAAAAATCAACTTGAATTCTAGGTTTTATGAATAGATGTTTAATATATAATGTCTGAACCTAAAATAACTAGAAAGAAAACCAGTATAGCCCAACTACCAGCCTGTTTTACATTATTTTCAGATAACTCTTAAGTACACCACTTACAAAAAGACAGATATCAATAAAACAAATAAATAAGCACTGTTTTATGCTGTTACCTAACATAAGTATAAAGTGGAGCTTTTCTCTGGGGCTAGAACCAAAAGAAAAAAAAAAATTCAGAAAGCTGACAGGTTCTCTTCAGCTTGAACTCCTAGAAACAAAAGCCCTTAGGGAAAGTAATGCAATAGTCTATGAGCAAAGTGTACATTTGCTTCTGCACTCTTCTATTTAAATCTCAACTAATATTAAAAGGAAAACAAGAAACACATTATACAGATAGGCTTGGATTTACTAAATGGAACGTTTTAAATTCAAAAGGATGGTCAAGGGAGGCACACACACACACAGACACACACACACAGACACACACCAATACACAGGGCATCAGAATCACAGCATAAATACCCACACAGCTTTTCAATGCTTTCCAAGTAGTCTCCTTCAGTTTTGCTTCCTCACAATTAAAATGAAATATATACACACAGTGACCCACAGACTCACAAGCTTTAAGAAACTAGAACAACGCAGTTGATATGCTTTCTTTCTGCCCAAGTAGCAGTGCCAGCCTTTTCCCTACCTACCCAATGTTCCACCAGCTTCAGCACCTGGACGAGTGGACAGCTCAACCCGGGCCGACTGCCGGCAGCACTCGCAGCAGAACTGACGCTCTGAGCTCTAACCAAAGCTCTCTCGTGCTTGAGCGGGGCAGCCTGACTTACGAGAACACCATTTCCTACGAGACCACTGCCGCTGGGTGCATATTCAATTCAAGCCTCCTTAAGCTGTCGGATTTCCCCCACCCATCCACCCTCCCCCTCTTCTCCACCCTCCACACAAAAACAGAAAAGGGAAAAAGCCCAATACCATTAGGGCGTTTGTTGATCAACTTACACTTCGCTTTTGAATATTTAGATACTGCTAGCGGAACAATATCAGCGGAGGCTTAGGTCCGCATTAAGTACCTTTGTTCATCGACTCCTGCAAGCCATGTTTATTAGAATCTACATTTCTCTCGCGCCCCAATAACTAGAGGTGTGTTTTGCGGGCAGGGGGCTTTCAGCACCTTTTGATCTCTCAAGGCCACCGCGACTCACTGACGGTTCCCAGTACACTTTCGTATGCTATCCCCCACACTCCAACACCCATTCCAGTTAATCGCTTTGCAATTTGCAACCAAAAATACATAAAGAAACGCGACAAAGCAATCGGTTTGAGGAAATAAGCCAATTAAGCTAAAGCTGAAATGCCTCTCTCTCTCTCTCTCTCCCCCCCTCTCCCCCTCCTCTCCCTCTCTCTCTCTCTTCCCCCTTGACTCCCTCCCTCTCCCTCTCTCCTTCCCTCTCAAGTAGAAAGGGGGAAACACCAAGGAGAGAGGAAAAATCGGGAGGAGGGTGGTAGTCGACTCTTACAATCAATGGAAAAAGAGTATACACATCTTTACTGAATAATACTCTCGTTCTCAGACAAAAAGAAACACATTTTTCGATGTAAACATAGTCTCCCTCTCCCATACATCCTACATCCTTTACGTTTGCTGAGATTTGTCTTGCTGTATGGCAAAGTAACTGTCACAAATCCATCTCGATTGAAGTGCTTACCCTCTAAATCCAGGTTTCAAGCGGAACTCCAACTGTGTGTAGAAGCCAGGGAGTCATCTGATGTGCGGTGAGGTAGGCTCTGGGCAGTGGGAGCTGCTTCTTCCCTCCGAGTGCCGGGTTACAGTGTTAACAAGCCCTAGGAAGGGACCTCGGCGCCTAGCGCTGGCTGTGCCCCAGTGCCTTCGCGTGGTGGCGGCTTGCTCATGCTTCCGAGGAGTCCCAGGCGATAGCCTTCAGCTGATGCGAGCTTCCAGAAAGGAGTGGGGAAGGGAAAAAATCATCTAATGCAATCAAATCGATCTGATCTACACCATCTGTCGCCTGCCACTATACACAAACGTTAAAATAGGAAAACGGAAAACACTGACAGCCGAGAGGGTTGGTCTGCAAAGAGTTCATTTTTAGCAGAGCATAATTGGATATGGTCGGCGTACAGTTACAAAAGCTGCTGTTAACCATCCAGTAGTGGATCCCAAACATGCTAATGGTGGATTAATTGAGGAAGATCTGACGTGCAAGCTTCATAGTCTCTTATTCATGACTTCCCAATGGGAAAGGACCAATGCCTTGTGGGACTATGGTAACATACAGTCAAAAAGCTGCTAAGAAAATGGCTGTGTGTTCACAGCACCTCTCTCTGATAACAAACATATGTCGACTAAAATGGTTTAGTAGAATGGGAGGGGGTGTTGGAGAATAAAATTTTCTTTCCCCGTGTAAGCAATCCCCATTTTCTTTTCTTAAAGAAAAGCAAAAATAGATATGATCTCTTTACCATAGTGGGGGGAAAAGGATGTTTTAAAAGGTTTTTATCAAGATCAAACTCTGACATATAAAAGAAACGGAACACTCCTGTGCAGCAATTCTTTTTAAAAAAATCTATTATAATTTTTTTCCTTACTGTGATCAAAGTAGATCCATAGCATGTGCAGTATACAGAAACTCAGTCCAGTTAATCCCACCAGGATTGACTCAAGGCTGTTTAATGCCAGGTACACTTTTGACTTCTTGAAATCAGGATGCCTTTTGGGGAAGGCATTTTGTATCATTTAAAATTGACATAATGAACATTAAATATGATTGCAGTGAGGAGATGAGAAGAGTTTTCCTTTCTAATTCTGTAATTACTCTCTCTAGCCAAAACCGCTTTTGGTTTGTTTCCAGTCTTCGCAGATCAGTTGATGGGGAAATATAGGGATGGGGGAGGGAGTGGAAATACCAAGAGGGAGGGAAAGAGAGTGTGGATTATCAATAGCCAATAAATTCTATTCCACTTGTAATAGAAAAATATATAGCAATAAAAGAGATAACTCACTAATTGTTGATCATGATTTTAAGTTTAAACCAGTTTTAAAAATTAAGGTTTGATATATGGAAAGAAGACCTATTGCAAACAATGAGATGACTTCCCCCGCCTATTTATAGTTATAGGTTTTAAAAAATATTGAAACAGAGTTTATTATCTAGATATGTGACAATCTTTTATTAACTATATCTGAAAATTCCATGTTTCCTCTGATTTTGTCATTCATTTGAACACTGAAAACTATGGTCATTTTGATTTTGCTGCCTTTTCTTTGGTAACATACATTACACAAATTCCATAGTAAACAATTAGTGTTCGTTCAGGAAAATTCTAAAGATGAATGTGTCTCCTAAAACTTTGATAATCTCTTTAAGAAAGAAAAAAAAACTAACAGTTATGAATTAGTCTAAAAATATAGCTTGAAGACAAATCAAACAATTTTCCTATCTTTTGTTTCAATATACATTAATTAAGCACTCTTTCCAACCTACACAACATTCCAGGGTCATAGTCAGATATTCAAGTCTAATAGTTCAGCAGCCTTTGTTGTCATTCGTGTCAAGCTATTGCCCCCTGCAGGTTAGGCTGAAAGTGCAGGCAGAATTTGGCCAAGTCCTCAGGAAATTGATGGTAGTCAAGTTACTCAGTCTCTTCCAATATTTAACTAGAGTCAACTTTTTAAGTTTGCTTTCATTATGGTTTAAACTTTTTATTTACAGATAGGTAGTACATTAAGAAAAAATGCTCTTTAAAGACGTGATTTCAGTTTTTCTTCTGAGAATTTAGCTGCATGGAGTAAACCATCCACTTTGTTGTGATACAAGGAGCATTTTGATGCACTTAGTATGGTTTTCTTCATCTTCCCTTATCCTTATTCTACAAGAGCCAGCAAAATTAAAAAAAACCAAACATAACAGAACTGGAATTATGAATTCTCAGTAATAAATATATAGCCCTGGGCAATTTGATGTCGGTATGCTCTTGGTAGACTCAATGAAGTGCGTGCAAATCAAACCGTTTCAGATTCTCCCTGCTCCTGATATGATGAGGTCAATTACACCGTTTCTCTTGGTTATAAAATGAAACATTATTTCAGCCTCCATACTCCTGCTATACCATCATCCTTTCCCACAATCAACTTTTCCAAAAAGGGCACCTTGCCCAGATGAAATAAATTTATAATTGACAGAATAGAAATTAAATTACATCAACTCTTTCACAATATTACAAAGTGGAGCAAGTTTATAGAAATGACTTCAGAAGGTTTATGGAAAGATCCTTTTATTCTCTGGAAGTCAATGATGTGGCTATTCACACTGAGTTGTAAAGAAACCAGCAATGGTATTTCCCTGTTATATAAATATTCATCTCATTGAGCAGTGGGATATCATTATGTGAAATATAATCAATTCTAACACCAAATTAGCCATCAATAAGAATCTTACTTAGTCAAATTATAGAAGTATTATTTCAACATTGTATTAAAGTAGCTAGAAACATGAACTGCACTTTGCTATTTTAAAGCTGTTATGAAACGCTCAAAAAAGACTTTAAGTTTAGTGGCAAAACTTGAGTCATTTTTGGAGGATTTTTTGTTACCCTAACCACTGATATGTTTTCTGGGTCCTCCAGAATGGACATATGGGATAGGAACTGGGGATAACTGTGTCATATTTTAAACAATATTAAAAACACAAGTCAACACAAAACAAAAATAACCTGAATACTTATCTCTGTTTTATTACATTTTCAAAGCTTGTTAAATTTCAAGAGGACACTACATCTATACATTAAGAGCTTTGCATCTACAGTTCATTAACACTCCTGCTCCGTGTAAAGAGGGCATTTGGACTAGGCTGTGAGACTATTAATTGCACAAATATGTTGTAGCCAGAACAGTGACTGGTTGCCTGCAGCAGCCATTTCTAGTTGTCTTCGAGTAGGTGTTTTTTTTTTTTTTAAAGTAATCTCCCCTTCAAAGTCATATCTCACATATATATGATTATACCTGATTGTGTGTATTGAAGCACATTGCTATTGAGTCAGAAATTTTCAGGTATCTTGACTCAAATGACTGTCAAATACCTAAGAACAGAGTTGCTTTTAATTAGCCTCCAGAAAAGAGATATGATATTTGACCTGTAAGTCTTAATCAAGGGGAATATTTTTAAGTTCTCCCATAAAAGATGTAGCAGATTGCTTGCAAGTGTCTTGAAAAACATAATCCTACTTCTCCTCCTACTATCATTACTATTGTTCTAATAGTTTCTAAAGGATCAGAACAGAGTTCTAGAAACCCTGTAATGCTGTTATTGCTGGAATCCTGGGTTATTAAACAGGATTATCAGCAGAAGCAAAGGACCATCCAATCCTATTCTTATGCATCCTATGACTCAACTCAGTTTCCACTTGGCGGGCTGTGTGTGTGTGTGTGTGTGTGTGTGTGAGAGACAGAGAGAGAGAGAGAGAGAAACTGAGAGAGAGAGAGAGAAACTGAGAGAGAGAGAGAGTTCATCCTGAAAGCGCTTATGTTTCCAGAGGTTTTCAAATGCAAATGGAGTGGGAGTGGTGGTGGCCGTGATGGAGTGTACTGTGTGGGTATGGGGAATTTGGGGAGAAGGTGTCGTGGGCAGTAAGTTTAAACAAATTCAAGGCCATCACTACCACTGCAGACCAACATAACTTAGGTCTGAGAGACCCCCTTAGAAAGATACAATGTCTTCCTCATCTAAAGGGAGGCAAGCTAATACCAGAGCGATCTCAGTACTCGCGCAGTTTTGAGAGAGGGTCTCGAAAACCGCCGGAGGCCAGGTGCCGCGGGCGGGCCCCGGGCTAAACTTGTCTGGCGAAGTGAAGAGCGCAAAGTCTCCAGGCCCACAGCGCCTTCGCGGGGCAGACTGGCCACTCTGGCCCCGGGCCGGGCTCGCTCTCCTCTGAAGCCCTGGAGCGGGCAAGGGGCACCATGCTGGCCACAGGAACTCTAGTTTCAGCAGCCGCAGCCCGCCAACGCTGGCTCGGACGGGGGCCTCCTCTGGGAGAGTGGGAGAGCGAAAAAAATCAACCACCACCTTCAAGGGATTTCAGATCGAGGAAAGGAAGCCAAAGCAAAGGTGTGGTTTACACAGGACGTCCATAGACAAACCGTTGTCTCTCCTAAGTGGGCCTGCGCTTTGCGGCTCCAGAAGCGCGAGGCGCGGTTGGTGCGGGCGCGGGGGCGTGGGAGTCACCGCTCTCCCCTCAGCCCTGGCCGCACTCTCTGCCGTCCTCCCGAGTTTGGGCCAGGGAC